TTTTGAGGTTGAGAAATAGAGGCCAGAGCAAGATACAGGCAGGAATTAGAGCGCATAGGATTTCTATATCATACTAAGGCTTCTGGGGTCTTAGCCTATACCTAATATAAAGTCATTGAAGGATTTTATTCACGGAAGTAACATTTGTTGTTTTAGAAAGACCTCTGGCAGCAGTAAGGACAACAGGATGGGGCAACTCAAGATTGAAGGCAGAAAGAACAACTCCGATAGAAGTGAAGAAGTTTAAGCAAGAAAGGATAAAAGTCTGAAAACAAACTTTCCATTAAAATATGGAAACAAGAGGAGCTATAAGACTAGAGAATGAGAAGAAAGAGTATCAAAATGTTAAGAAGAATTCATGGGGGTGCCTGGGTGGCTCAGTTGGTTAAGCAACTGCCTTCAGCTCAGGTCATGATCCTGGAGTACTGGAATCAAGTCCCACATCGGGCTCCCAGCTCCACGGGGAGTAAGCTTCTCCCTCTGGTCTTCTCCTCTCTCATGCTCTCTCTGTCTCTCAAATAAGTAAATAAATATAATAAAAAATAAATAATATTTTTTTAGAAAAAAATAGAATTCATGCATCTTGGTGACTGAAGGGACAGTAAAAGGAGAAATGAGAGTTTAGGATATGTTTCAGATTTCCGATTATGTAGCTGGAGGAGGAGAGGCTTCATCAAGTTGGGCACTTTAGGAGAAGAAGCAGGTCTGCAGGAAAAGACGATTTGGTTTGGAACATGTTAAGTTTTTGTTGCCTTTGAGATCACAACATATAGTTGAAGATATATTTTTGAAACTCAGGAAAGAGGTTTGAATCTCACTGAAATATAGATTTAGAATTTGCATATATGCAGTCTCAGACATAGGTAGAAAATAAGAGACTGAAATCTCAGAAGCACAGGGAAAAAGAGTTCTAAGAAAGAAAATGATCAAATTTAAGGACACAACAGAGACCAAAAATTCTACACCAACTAGATCACAAGTGTTCTTTGGTAGAATAGCTTCAATAGAGTGGAAAAGTGAATTACTGTGAGTCAGTTAAAAACAGACAAGTAAATAAATAAATGTCTACTCTGTGCCAGAAACTGTGCTAGGACTAGGGAATATTGGTGCAGAAAACCAATAAAACAGTCATAGACTTTATAGCCTGGGGAGAAATATATATTAAATAATTAGAAATTCAGAAATGGAAAGGATAACTTTTTTCAAGAATCTCAGCTATAAAAGAAAGAAGGAATTGACAAAAACAGGGAAATTGTTTTATTGCTTTTTTCTTACAATCTTTATACACTGTGACAAAAGTACTAGAAGTTGAAACTCTAAGACAAAATGAATAACCAATAAAACAATGTCCCAATAGGTTAGCCATAGTATCCCCACTGCAGGAAATATCCTCCCTTCTCCGCATCTAGATTTCATTTCATACCCATTCTCCATATCTACCTAACTTCTTCAAGTTCATACTTCAAGATTAAGCTGAACTGAAAAGCCACCCAGGTGAGCATTCCTGACACTTTTATCCCTGGCTTCCACAAACTGGGTCAACTGCCCTTTTCTCTGTATATCCTTCTATTGTTGTATAAGTAGGATATATGTTTTTAGCTTTTAATAACTTTTTTAAAATTATGAAATGAATATATACTTAATAGATACAAAAATCACAATAAAGATGAAATAAGGAGAAAAAAAAGAAACAAAAATTGTTCAGGTGGACTATTTAAATAGACACCCACATAAACATATCCACTATTTAGACATCTACTTCTTTAGTGTTTTCCCTAGAACATAGAGTAATTACTTACTGTGACAAGAGAGGATATCCAAAATAACTCACTGATAAGTTAAAGAATTTAAGTCTATTCTCTCATCTTAGATGCCCCTAAAATGTACTTCTATCCTATAGATAATTTATCCCAACCAGAAATTCCTCAGGAATGTAAATATAACAAACTACATTGGATTGAATATATACATTTTTATCTGCTCCCTCCTAAAATTGCACTAAAAATGACAAAAAGACAAATGTTTTAAAATCCACAAAGAAAGAGAATGTTGGGACACCTGGGTGGCTCAATCATTAAGTGTCTGCCTTTGGCTCAGGTCATGATCCCAAGGTCCTGGAATCGAGCCCCGCATCAGGCTCTCTGCTCATCGGGAAGCCTGATTCTCCCTCTTCCACTCCCCCTAGTTGTATTCCTTCTCTATGTCTCTCCCTCTCTCTCTCTCTCTCTCTGTGTCAAATAAATAAATAAAATCTTTTTTAAAAAGAAAGAAAGAAAGAGAATGTTAGAGGAGACAATAACAGATGACAGCAGAGACATATAATGAAAGCATGGAAAAATGAAAAGCAGATGAACATGTAGTAGCTGACTACTCAGAACAAAGAAACCTAAAACACAAGTAACTGCTGAAAGAGACACCAATAAGAAGCAACTCCAGAAATTCTCAGAAATCGAATTCAATACTGAAGGCTACAATAAAGACGGGGCTGCAAACAAGCAAGCTGGTTGACATTTTACATCAGAAGCATTTAGACACCTAAAATCACCTCTCCTATTCTGAGCAGTCAGGCCAGTGCACTTCTCTCTCCTAAGCATGGGAAGCAAGACTACTCTGAAGAATCTACCAGATCGGCTCTGGACCTTGAGGCAGCAGGGACTAAAAATAGAGTGATTAAGTAAAAGTCTACATACTAAAGTGGGAGACTCAATATGAACCCCTATCCTACCTCAAATTCCAGCACATTATTAGCTAGACTTACAGCTTTCCAAAAGGGACTGAAGGATGCCACTCTGGAAACTTTGGGGTAAGTCCCAAAGAAAAGACCTATAGTTACCGACATTGCAGAATCCCCAACAAAAGAGCCAAATGGCTACCACGCTATAATGAAATCCACTGTATACAGCTACTAATCAGCTTTCTATGGTTTCATTCTTAAATATGATAAAAGGACTATTCAGAATCACCACGCATTTTAGAAATACCTCTAACATGAAAGAGAGCAAAACAAACAAAAACATTCAACTTAAATAAAGAACCTCCAGGAAGCAGATAAAAATAATCTTAGAAATAAACATAACAATCTTAAATAAATAAAACATGGCATAAGATCACATACAACCAAATGTGAGAATACGATAAAGGTATTTGTCTCCTATTATTCTCAGAAAGCCATATGAGTAAAATAAGGGATTTACCAGCTAAAAATAAAGTGACAAGATCCAAAAAATAATGCAGAGGCAAAGAAAATTCACAAGGTAATGAAGCTTCACCATTACCACTGTGAAACAGGCTGAATAAGCAAAAGTGCACACTCAGTGAAGAAGATAGAGGGCTCTCTAGAGGGAATGCCTTCAAGGGCAAAAACCAGAATTGACAGATGATCTAATAAGAAGAATATGTATGGTTTTGTTGGAAAGCTCAAAAAAGAATTGATGATAAATATATAGGAAGTAAAGCAAAAGAGAAAAATAGATAATTATTAAGTCTAGGAAAAACACAAAAATTTGTACAAGAAAGGAAGTATAATTACAGCATATCACATAGCTTAGGGATAGGCAGTATTTACAGAGTCATAATAATATAAATTCTAAAATCTAACTTAAACTGAAATTGTGGTATATTAGAAGGATGAAAGAAGAGAAGTTCTGTGTGTATGACAGGATGGAGAAGACAGACAAGGGGTGGCTGGGAGGTTGGTGAGTGAGTAGCAAATCACCATCTTCCAGGGTGGGAATTTAATATCTCAAATGGAAAAAATCAACAAATAGTTGCATTAAAATTTCATTTAAATGAGGTAAATATAAAAACAAACACACAAAAAAAATTAAAGACAATCTGTGGAGGGCTTTTTTACTATTTGACTTTAACCAAATATACCTATATTTGCTTTGCTAAAAATAAAATGTTTTTAAAAATTATCCGTTATCTTAGAAGAAATAGCCAGCCAATACATTATTTGAAAGTTCAGAAGATGCCACTGATATTGGCTATAAAGCATATTCAAAACCCTCTTCCAAATTTACTTTCTTGTAATGGATATCCATAAAGACAGAGGATGCAAATCAGAATAAAATCCTGAGAAACAAATTCTTCTTTGAATCTTAAAATGAAAAGAGATTTCATGAAATAAGATACAGTGATTAAGAGAATGGGTTCCAAGTTCAGAACTGAGTTCAGATCCCAGTTCTGCTACTTAAATAGCAATGTGACTTGAGGTAAATCACTTAAGTCTCAGAACTCCACTTTCTTCCTCTATAAATTGGGTATTTATATAGTACCTATAATGTAAGGTTGTTGTAATGATCAAATGATAATCCCCATAAAGAGCCTGACACATTAAAAAGTGTTCAGTAAATACCAACCCTTTCGTATGCTTTAGCATACCAACCAAATAGCAATGATCTACCATGACTGCTAACATACACAGCTCATTTCTGCACCCCCAAAATTAATCACAAAATTACTCATCATCCAATATGTGTACATTATAAATGGAAGTTTATCAGATAAGAAAGAATCTCTTATTTCTAACATCATATAAAAACAAATTTCAGATAAACCAGAGATTTACACCCAAGAAAATGGAAAAAAAAGTAGCAAGAAGTAGAATATAGATTTTATCTTATCTTTGTCAATTTCCTCATTCTGAATAGGTATAGGTTTCCTTTAGTACTAACTACAAATTTTAAAGAAATTATCTATTCAGTCACATCCAGTCCTCCAAAATCTATTTCTTCCAGATAAAGACAAATAGCCCTCTTCTCTAGTCAAATTTCATGTGAACGTGCCATTTGACTTTGGCAAAAATTTTAGAATCAAAGATAGGCAGAAATAGGGAGAAAAGTCATGAGATTATAATTTATTCATCTAGATATTGTTTCTTTCCTTACAGTTGATGTTTAGTCATATCAATAGCTCATATAGTCAAATCTACATCTGATCCTGTAAAATTTTAAAGACAGATTAATAACACACATTTGCAATTTATGAAAAGTCATTACCTTGGATTTGGTACTTCTCCAAGAATCTCATCTAAATTGTCAATGAAGTTAATAAAATTAGACAGTCCTTTTACATGTGCCCTTAAAGGATCAGATGGTGATGGTGCATATCCCTTCCCTCCAAGCTCCAGTGTTCTAATAAATGATGTGGCCACCTATGAATTAAAATAAATGATTCAGTTATGTTTAATCATTTAGTACGTTAAAAATAAAACTTTATGAAACTGGGCACATTTATATTATTTCTGGGTATACAGGTAAAGTAAGTACTTTTTATGATTCATGTCACTTTGATTCAGAAGCAAATAATTAAACAAACAGATGCCATGCAAAATTCAGGCCAAAAAGGGTGATGGCAATGAGAGTGGAAACTGAGAAGCCAAGTAAGGTGACAAACTAAGGGCATAAGAATACATTCATAGGGACACCTGGGTGGCTCAGTGGGTTAAGCCGCTACCTTCGGCTCAGGTCATGATCCCAGGGTCCTGGGATTGAGTCCCGCATCAGGATCTCTGCTCTGCGGGGAGCCTGCTTCTCTCTCTGCCTCTGCCTGCCTCTCTGCCTGCTTGTGTGCCCCCTCTCTCTCTCTTTCTCTCTGACAAATAAATAAATAAATAAAATCTTAAAAAAAAAAAAGAATACATTCATAAGAGTGTATCACTGATTATAAAATATTAGTGTATGTATACTACATTATACTATGTAGTATACTACATATACTAGATTGTATACTACAATCTATATTCTCATATAGATTAAATTGGAATTTTTAATATGAAACAAAGGGTTTTTCAGGGTCAGCTGTGTTGATTTATTCAAGGGTAGGCAATTAATTCAACTCTTCCAAGCTTTATCTTCTTTATTTATAAGCTCAACATTTAGACTAAATAAGAACAAAGCCCTATCTAGCTTTCACATTTTAGGATTATTTGATCATGTATAGTTCAAAAGGCCTTGCCTTACCATGACAAAAAAACATATAGGATGGCTATACTTAAGAGTATCTCCAACAAAGATGAAATACTTTAAAGTGTATCCTAAATTCTATGAAATTTCAGTAATTTGTTAGAAAGTTCCAAGGTTAAATAACGTAGGAAACAACACATTAAGTAACAAGGTTAACTTAAGCAGATTTCTTAATGGTAAGACTTCTCAGAGCTTTTGATATACAAATATGCATTACATATCTACAATAAAGGTAATATTTCCAATAAAGGTACTATTTCCAAACTGTTTGCCCTTGGAAACATCTTATTCAAGGAGCACTTAACAGGGACTTTTGCCTTTGGAAATATTTATCCAAGGAGAACTTAACAGAGATACCACTCTATAGAACACATGTCGGAAAACATTGCTTTAGAGAAATTTTCTCTTATCAAATTTGAAGAATATGGTAATAAATAACAATACCATAGGTTTTCAAATACAAGAGAAGAGCATATATTCAGAGTTTAAAAGTTGTTTTATCATAGCTAAAAGAATTCTATATTAAGGTACATATACCTACTGTTCATAAGTCTTTAAAACATACTGAAAATGTAACATGTCCATACCAAAAAGATAGACAACTTTTTCTCTTGAGCGGCATGTTTCAAATCAGTGAAGGCTTCTCTTCCAAGTCCTCTATCAGGAATATTGAGAACATGAGCCAGAGCCAGGTCATTCTTTGAATTCACAAGCAGGCTTAAATATGAATAGATAATTTTTCTTGCTAGTAACTGCACCTGTACAAAAAATATTGTTTTCTTTATTGAAGTTATTCTAAATCAATAATCTTTTCTTCATATACAGTAAAAATACTTATGACTATTCAATAGCAATATCTCACTCAACTCTATGGGAAAAGAGAAGACTACCATACAACAAAAGATTGAGTTGGACAATTAACTTATCCCTGCTCATGAAACATATGTGCCACTAGTAAGTAAGTATGAGCAAATAACAACAATCATAATTATTGAAAAATACCTCTTAAAAATGATATAAAGGATAAAGTCCAAAGTCTGAATTTCTAATAAGGCTGAATCTCATGCCCTTGTACACATTTGTCACTAAATAACAAGGAGAAATGAAGTCTCTTAAAGCTTAGGGAATAGGCTGACTGGCACTATTTGGTCCTATACCTACACAGAGCTGGAGATAAGGGCTGAATTTAAATGGTTAAATTTGGCGGAAATTATTAGATGCTGACTTTGACAATACCAAATAACCAAGTTAAGTCTTACAATGAAGAAATTCAAGCAAGTATTAAGAAAATAACAACAACAACAACAACAAAGAAAAAAAGAAAATAACAAGTAGTTGATGTTGACATGGTTCTTTCATATATTCTATACTTGTCTTTTATGGTCAAGGGCATTTTACAAACCAAGGCATTCAATGATCTTATTCTTAAAATTACCTACTTATAGCTATTTAGGGTCTTGCAAATTCTAGTATTGAGCAAGTGATACTGTGAACTCCCACAGGTAACAATAAAATATTAGTAAAATTTCAAAAACTAACTATACTGGAAAGTATACACAAAGCAGACCCAAGCTAGAGGAGAATTTTATTTTAAAAGAACTGCAACAAGAAGGGTTAAGAATAGCAAGTTTGTGGTTATTCAAGGTCCTAAACTTCCTGTGGAGAAGTGAGTGATCATATGAACCTCACAGAAAACAAACATAAAATAGTAAATAAAAAAATCTTAAATACTATTTAAAGACAATGGAAAGTATCTAGAAGGTAGATAGGAGCTGGAGGAATATTTAATTTTAGCAGAACTGCAATAAGAAGGGAATGAATTAGGCGTGTCTGGGTGGTTCAGTCAACTGACATCCAACTTCTGATCGCAGCTTAGGTCATGATCTCAGGGTCATGAGTTCAAGCCCCACTCTGGGCTCCATGCTGGGCATGGAGCCTACTTAAAAAAAAAAAAAAAAAAAAGCATGAATTAAGTTTGTGGTTTACTGACTCAAATTTCATGACTACAGCTATGGCAGATAGAAGTGACTGTAATGGTGCCCTCAGAATACAGGGCTGGGAAAGCAGCTAGAAATTTAAAGGGGAAAATCTTGGACATAATTGAGAGCATAAAGAGCCATAATCCATAGCTGACAGCAAAACTACACAAGCATGGGGGAGACTCCGCAGGTCCATCAAAAACACAGGCAGAAATAAGAAAGAAATACATTCAAGAAAGACTGAGCTACAAGGAACTACAGCTATGAGTTGGAAGGTTTGCTAAATGAGTACATTCCTCAACTGTGTGTAGCTTAAGTCACAGAAAGCTGAAGCTGGACAGGCTTGAAGTGTTAAGAGTACAGAGCCAAAATTTGTCAGAACAACTGGAAAACACAGGAAAATCCCAGGAAAAAAGAATCCATGGAAAGAATGAGCTCCATACTTTCCCAAATCCTTGGTTTACTGCCATGTTTGGCAGGCAGAAGAAAGGCATACAAAAGCCAACCTAAAAAAAAAAAAAAAAAAAAAACCAGCAAAGGAAAACCATAAGAATAGATATCCAAAAAGCTTCATACCAAGGAGACAAAATATGAAGTTGAAATCCAGGCAAGAAAACTGCCACTGGAATAAAAACTCAATTGTCTTCAGAAGAACATGACAAAACCCAGAATCACTATAAAATAATATCTGTAATGTCATTTTTATCTAAAAATTACAAGACAGTTCAAAAAAAAAGTGTTACCTCCTCTCAGGATAAAAAGCAGTCAATAAAAATTAACACCAAGTGGACCTAGATACTAGATTTAGCAGACAAAACTCTGAAGTTGCTGCTATAAATATATACAAAGAACTCAAACCAAAAAATGTTCAATAAATTAACAGGGGAAATGACAACAGAAAAGTGGACATTATAAAGAAAGTAAATTCTAGAAATGAAAAGTATAAAGACCAAAACAATATTTGCTAAATGGGCTCAACAACAACTTGGAGAAAGTGGAAGAAAGTATAAGTGAACTTACAAATATATAAATAGAAATTATCAAACCAGAAAAACAAAAGAAGAAAAAAGGAAAGAAAAATAAAACCAAAGAGCTCTGTGGGACATGTATTTAGAATCCCTGCAGAAGAGTGAAATAAGCAGAAAAAAGTATTTCATGAAATTATGGCCAAAAACATCCCAAATTTGATGGAAAACATTACTTTATAGATCTAAGAAGCTACTCAAGTAGGAAAAATACAAAGAATATCATTCCTGTTCTATAATTAAATTCTGACAGCCAAAGATGAGAAAAAATCTTGAGAGTAACAAGAACAAAATGACACACAACATACTAAAGAATAATGGTAATAACAAATCATCAAAAAGCCAGAAGACACTGGAACAATGTATTAAATAGGCTGAAAATGATCTTAAATATTACTGTTTAGTCAAAATAATACAGCATTTATGAAGGGACACTCATATCAATGAAACAGAACAGAGTCCACAAATAGACCTAACAGAAACAGCCATTTGATTTTTTACATAGGTGCAAAAGCAACAATGAAGAAAGGACACTCTTTTCAATAGTTAGTGTGGGAACAACTGGTCAGCAATATGTGAAACAAATGAAACTCACCGAAACCTCACACTTTTTTCTTTTTTTTTTTTTTTTTTTTAAGATTTTACTTATTTATTTGAGAGAAAGAGGGAGCATGAGCAGGGAGAGGGACAGAGAGACAAGCAGATTGCCCACTAAGTGGGGAGCCCAATGTGGGGATAAATCCCAGAACCCTGACTGAACCTGACTGAACCCTGACCCAGAACCCCGAGCTGAAGTCAGACACTTAACTGACTGAGACACCCAGATGCCCCAACCTCACACTTTTTATAAAACTTAAAGCCGATTATAGGTCTAAATGTACAATATATAAAACTGTAAAACTTTAAGAAGAAAACGTAAGAAAAAATCCTTATGACTTGGAATTAGGCAGAGTTATTACACGTGACATCAAAAGCACAATCTGTAATAGGAAAAAATTGATAAACTGGATTTCATCAAAATTAAATTATTTTAATGGAATTCTCATCACCTTCTTAACTACTTCCACCCCATTTTCTTGATCTGAAATCTTGTTGTATCTAATTCTTAAGTGTTGATCCCATGCTATTTACCTGAAATACTCTCCTTGCCTATTTCCTTAGAAAAATGAGCACTACATCAAAAACTAATGATGTATTATATGCTGGCTAATTGAACACAGTAATAAAAAAACAACAAATTTAGAAATAATTTAATGAAAAAAAAATGGACTCCACAAATTCTAAACTCAATTCATTCTCAAAACTTGAAATTCAGTAAGTCCTTCAGTGACTGACAACTTAGCCAAAGACCCCATAATTTATCATCTATAATTCTAAGAAAATATTTTCCTAATTAAAATTAAAATGTTTTCATATTGTTTAACTACATTTTAGAAAGCATTAAAGAGAGATTTAAAAGGTAGCAATAAAAATTATAAATTATTAGGAAGTCTCTGAGACAATTATTAATAAAGTCTCAAGTTCATAGACGTATTACAAGCACTTTTAAAGGCTTGGGGCGCATGGGTAGCTCAGTTAAGCATTCATCTTCGGCTCAGGTCATGATCCCCGGGTCCTGGGAATCCAGCCCAGCATCAGGCTCCCTGCTCCACAGGGATCCTATTTCTCCCTCTCCCACTCCCCCTGCTTGTGTTCCTTCTCTGGCTGTCTCTTTCCCTCTGTCAAATAAATAAGTAAAATCTTTTTAAAAAATTAAAAAATAAAGGTAACATGCTTTTGGATTATTTAAATTTCTCAATAAAAACAATTCTTGAAATACGGGAGGCAGTCAGGGTCAACTTAAAAAAACTTTATTTTATAGGAAAAGGTTACCTTAAATATGGACTTGAAATTTAAGCAAAATTGATTAAAAAAAAAAACTTAAATATTAATCCTCTAAAGTTTTTTTCTTAAATATTAAAAATATGAGACAAATGTTACCTTTGCAGAGAGGTAATTTGCAGAGAGTAATTCATGTACTCCCTTTCTTATTACCCTCTTACACCTAAGCCTATCAGGCAATTATAATTCCCTGCATAGATCTTAATGGTTTCTGATGCTGTGTATTTTCTTAATCTTTCTACTACTTCATGAGTTCCAGGAGAGCAAATGGTGTTCCCTTAGGGCCTAAAAGAATGACTGGCATTATAGTATGTAATCAATCCATTTTTGTTAATAGGTTCTCAATTAGTTTTGTTCAATGATAAATGAAAAAAAACTTAATACATGTACTTGGCTCTTTTAGAAATTTCAGAATGAAAACTATTGGTAAAAATTTATTTCAGGGGACGCCTGGGTGGCTCAGTTGGTTAAGCAGCTGCCTTCGGCTCAGGTCATGATCCCGGCATCAGGCTCCTTGCTCGGCAGGGAGCCTGCTTCTCCCTCTGCCTCTGCCTGCCATTCTGTCTGCCTGTGCTCGCTCTCTCTCCCTCTCTCTCTCTGACAAATAAATAAATTTAAAAAAATCTTTAAAAAATTTAATTAAAAAAATTTATTTGGGATCTATTAAGCACTCACGTATTTGTATTACATTGCCTTAAAAAGAAAATTACTTCAAGTTACAACTAAACCAAAATCATCTTTAAGATCCACCCTAAAATTTTATAACTTAAGGCATTATATAATTTTCCACTTAGATTTCAACGGTCTTTTTATCTTTACTTTCAGTGTAAATCATAATACTTCGTGTGAATCTATAATACAGAAGTTTCCATTTTAACTTCGCAGTACAATAGTCTAAAACATATGAATCTCCTCTTTTTCTTAACCCTTCATGTTTCAAAAGAGTAACTCATTTCATGAAAAATCAAAAGGAAGAAAAAAAACGACATTCACATTGTAATCAGAAACTTTTTTACTCTTTCTACACTTAATTTCATTGAATCCCTATTTTACTGTGCTTTTGCTGTCCAAAAATAATGAGAATTTACCAAAATGTATATATCTGATCCTTACTGGGTATCAATGATCCTTACTATTTCCCTTAAACCCCATCTACAACTTGCTCTTTAAGGCTAGCAAATTCTGCCCTTCTGATCTATGATGCTAGACAAACATCAGGGAAAAACATCTTGGAGTCCCCACAGTTAAGAGTGTTTCTTTTAACTCATGGCTGCAACTGGAAATCTATCCCCATCATTATGGTCATATAACATGGCAGTTATGGTTTCCCTGCTCTTGTATTTGCAAGTGTGTTTTAAAGAAGCTCTCTGGAAAAGCATTCCACATAAATACAGTTATGATATCCAGAAGCAAGGGCCTAATTGAAAAAATCCGCAAGATTGAAGCTTTTACCAAGATACCAAAAATAAAGATAATGTTCTGTTTATTTATTTAATAAACTGATTCAGTCCATACCACAAAGTATTTGCAATGTTTGTTTAGAAGTTGAACAATTTTATTTAAGCTTTCTGGCAATTCCAAGTTTCTTTTCCTATCCATTAATTATTACTGAAATGTAGATATTCAATCTCAATTTGAAGAATGTCAGTTTTTTTAGATTGAGATTAATAATTTATACCGCTATTTTTTTACTTTCTTTGCCAAACACATAAATTCTTAACATAAAATGACCAAACAAGCAAAAAAAAAAAAAAAAAAAAAGAGTTGAGCTAAAACTAATATAGCAGTAGAAATTTTTATTTAACTGATGATTTTCTTTTAGGGCTTTTATTCCATTTTTCCCTTCTTTTCTTCAGAATTTCTAAAGCAGTTTAGTACTTTAGGAAAAATAAAATAAGGAAACAAAAATGTTGTTTCTCAAACTCATGCCATTCATCTATTTGATGACTCTGGTGTGGCATTAGTAAGGTACATTTTGTGATCAAAATATATCTATGCAAGACTTCAGCCCAAAAAGTCCCTTTGGAATTTTAATAGAAATATATTGCCTTCCAAAAATACTTTGCAAAAAGAAAAATTAGAAGTCTGCAAGTAACAAAAAAATAGTTGAGAGGATGACTGCTACTTTAACAGTCCTCATAAAATCTAATCTATCAGCTAACTAGTAGGTATAATACTCTTAAAAAACAATCCAAAGAGGCAAGAGATAAAAGTAGAGGATTAACACAATGAAACTATCACTGTTTTTTTTTTAAATGAGAAAACTATATGCTTGCAATGAAGACCCATTAGTTTCTATATGCTATACTCTTTTTTCATGGATATCCATTTATGATAACATTTTATAACTGTAAGCCAAAATTATAAACACCTAGGTATTTTACACATACAAATTCATTCATTTCTCGTAAGGATACAATAACAATTAATGCTTCCTCCCTATAGAGCCTGTAATATAAATCAGAGAGAAGAGATTTGTAAGTGATATACTCTCTTGATATATGAATGCATCTCTTAAGTACCAATGAGAAAAGACCAGACATTTGGTAAACATTTTATCAATATTTGGCACCAGAGGAAAAAAATAATGGAAGTGAAAAATTAACTTCAACTAAGAGAAAATAGTTACAAACAACTGAAGGGAATCACATCCGGGCAGAAAACATTCTAAGATGGACTTGGAATATTTTATTATACCAGAAAAAAGGGAAGTGCTCAGAAGTCTAATAGGGCATGTAAAAAAGACACAGAAGCTTGAACAGAATTCCTCCATTTTAGCATCAAAGGTTAATGACTGTAATTAATTTTAAAACTGAATAAAAATTCATGAGTCCACAGCAATAAATACATGCATAAGGACAAAGATAAACAGAAAAAGATGTAATTTGCATCCTATTTTATAAATAACTATTATCCCAGCTCCTAAACTGGTAATGAAAGAGAAAGAATTGGGGCACCTGGGTGGCTCAGTGACTTAAAGCCTCTGCCTTCTGCTCAGGTCATGATCCCAGGGTCCTGGGATCCAGCCCCACGTCGGGCTGTCTGCTCAGCGGGAAGCCTGCTTTCTCCTCTCTCTGCCTGCCTCTCCACTTACTTAGATCTCTGTCTGTCAAATAAATAAATAAAATCTTTAAAAAAAAGAGAGAGAGAGAAAGTATTAAGTCGTGACTCTGCCATTCCTAGGGAACTATTTCCCTAAATAGCTTTATCTTATCAAGCTCTGCTTTACTGAGAAATGGCAGCTAATTAATGTAAAGACATGACAGAGTTAGAAACTCACCATTTTGCAAACACTAAAGAAATAACTGATTCAGACAAGGATCATGAACATATGTGTAAAACCACTGGGTGAAAAGTTGCTGCAAAACAGCATATTTACACAGTGTCACCCCCACAGATTTCTGTTCACAGCAAAGGGAAAACTACATCTTTATCCTAGAGAGATCCGGCAATTTGGGACAACTTGAGTTTGTGTCTCTTAATACGATACCATCAGTTATGAAGTACTAAACTTGAATCTAAGCAAGCTATTGCATAAAACTTCCAGTTTACTGGAAATAGAAGAACAAAATAAATAATTCCAGGAGAACTTAAACACATAAATAAGAAGAGAAAAAGACTGAGGGGAATTCTCCTAGATTAAAAATCTAAAGAGATATAAAACCATTTGGAGGACAAATGGAGAAATCTAAATAGGGAAGACAGTAAGTGATATTAGGGAAAATTAAGTTTTCTTATATATGATAATGGTATTATGTTAATGCTTCTATCTTTGGGAAATGATATGCTAAAGAAGTTTAGGATTAAATACCATGATGTCAGAAACTTAACTTTCAAATACGGCAAAAAAAAAATATTAAATGCAGATGTTCAAGCATGTTAGTAAGTCTAGGAAGTAGGTGCACAGGTATTTATTTGAGGGCAGTGACAAATATATTTCTTAAAATGTGATCTTTGTGGCATGGGACTTATGGGAGAATCTGCCTTAGCAATGTTTCCTTAAAAATGAAGAAGGTGATTGTCAAACTGAATAAAGAAGATAGATTTTGATATGTTGAATGCAATTTTACTGCTTTTTCCAATACTCAAATTTTTATCTTGTCAATAGTGATTTTATTTACCATAGAAAATTCCATAAACATAAACCCCACGGTTATTAAGGGGTTACTATATTTAATTAGGTACCTAGCATAGCATTTAACTTAAGGTAAATTATATTAGACCAAACCTGTGGTTTGTTTTCTATGGTTTATTTGCACAACAAACTCTATTATCACAATTTGTGATGCATCAGTTATCTACTTCAAAGGTGACGGAATAGAATTTTCAATTGTACATAACCTCCCAAGAATCATTCATTTAAAACCATAAGCGAAATTTGCCAAATACAAAGATTCAAATAACTCTGGCAACTTAGACCTTCTAACTACTTTTCAAAGACTGATGAGTGATATTTGTTTTTGCATAGTGCCTGTTATGTTGTCCCAAAACCAGGAAGGCACTGACTGCTAGGTTCTCAGCAGTCTCTAATGCATTACTCTTTGCAAATACAGCTTTATTTAAACAAATTAAACAAATTAAAAACTTCTAAAAATGAGAAAAAATAACTGTGATGTACAAATTCATGGTGATTTGAAGAGGATCAGATCCTGCTTTAATTTACTCACAATTTTTCAGTACCTTTTCATTATCCTGGTTGTGTTTACTCATTGGTGATGTTGGTACATAAAGATCGGTTTCATCAGTTACTACACACTGTCTCCCAGAAAGAAAATCGCGTAGCTGACTCTGTAGAAAACAAAGGAGGTTACTAATAAGGTGCTATGACAACTATTAAAATTTTTCACACCAAGCTGTACATAATAACCCATTTCTCTATCATTATTTAAAAGTGATAGGGGCTCAGTGGGTTAAAGCCTCTTCCTTCGGCTCAGGTCATGATCCCAGGGTCCTGGGACCCCCTCATCTGGCTCTCTGCTCAGCAGGGAGCCTGCCTCCTCCTCTGTCTGCCTCTCTGCCTACTTGTGATCTCTGTCAAATAAATAAATAAATGAATCTAAAATAAAATAAAAGTGATAATGCCAGTTACTTACCCCCCCAAAAACTACAATATTTAGTCATTTTAATTTTAAACTAATATCAGAATTTCCTTTAGTATAAGCCTTCCATTAAGTATAGGCTTCCATAGCACACATGTTCCCAGTCCACTCTTACCATTTTAACTAGACACACATACCCTCCAAGTTTCATTGCTCACTACCATCTTCTCTTGGATAGGTACCTGCTCTCCAATTCATCTGTTTAATTATTACAGTCTTTGAATGGGCAAATTCTTCACTTGAAGTATGAAGATGACATTCTTCAAATTTTTGCAATCCTTCCTTTAACTTAGCTGGTAAGTGATATCTTGTTGAGGATGAGATTCTTAGGTCACTGTCCTCTTCTTTCAGGACGTGCTATTTCATTGTTGTTCTTTTTAAATGACTTGTTCTTTCCACCAGGAAACTTATAATATTTATCTTTATCCTGTAGAGTTTGGAAACTTTACCAGGATATGCTTAGGTATGTGTCTTTTCTCTTCAATACAGCCTGGAACTTCATAAACACTTAACTAACAGACTCAGGGAAATTTTATTATAACAAATGTGGTTAGAATATTTTATTTAATCATGACCTCTTCTGCATCTCATCCTTTTTCTCCTCTGGAATTCCTATCATTTGTTATGTTAAATCCTCCAGCTCCAACCTCCAAGTTTCTTAACTTTTCCTTCATAATTACTTCATCTTCATATTTTTCTCTCTGTGCCTTAAATATATATTTTTAAAGATTGTTTTTTTTAAAAGATTTTATTTGAGAGAGAAAGAGACAGAGTGAGAGAGATCACAAGCAGCAGGGAGAGGGAGAAGCAAGCTCCCTGCTGAGCAGGGAACCCGACATGGGACTCAATCCCAGAACCCCAGGATCATGCCCTGAGCTGAAGGCAGATGCCTAAATGAGCCACCCAGCTGCCCCTCTGCTTTAAATATTTATTGTATTTGACTTTCAGAACTCTGATTTGTGCCTGAATCCATCTGTTGCACTGGGAAGACTTTTTTTTCTTCTTTTTTAAATCTAGAAAGTCTTAATGTTTAGGTGTATCCTTGAATTTCCTTGAGTACTTAACTACTTTTACGGATTCAAATTGTCATTCACCAAGAGCGCTATTCTGTTGGTCACATGTGCTCTGAGTTAACTCATCTTTCTGCAGGTGCTGGGACTCATTAAGTGGCTGTTGCTTTTCTTCAGAGGCTAAGGCCCTGACTGTTGAGGTACCTGAAGTGAGGACAATTTTACAAGTAATAGAAGTAGAAAATGTCTCTGTTTACAAAGCATCAATGGAAAAATAAACAGGATGCCAGTCACCTCCTTAAGCCAAGGGAAAGTCTTTTTGTGGTCTCTCAAGGATCACCAACAGTATACCCATCCATTCAGCTACTTCTTGGCTTCCTAAGTCAAAGAATCCTGGCACACTCACAGAGGGTATTTGTTGACCTTCCCCAGAAAGTTCCCAGATTTCTGAGGGCTGCTAAGTTCTTGAAATCTACCATTTCTTCTCCTCAACCCAGGTCTCCAGTATCCCTCAGATAATTGTTCAATTCATGAGAAAGCAAATTCTGTACCAATTGTCTCAACTTGGACTTTTAGAAATTGAGGTCTTATATGTTCCCAGATGTCCACAGGCCCTGCATGCATGTTCCCCAGGAGAGGAATTATAATGTATGAAATACACTTATATGTATTCATACATCTATAATTGTATGAAATACAATTATAATGTATGAAATAACTTGTTCAAGTTATCATGTTCCCAGAATATCCCTGTCTTACCTTTATCTTGATTCCTTGTAATTTCTGCCTTATTTAGGCTACTATAAATAAGAAACAAAGATACATAAGCATATGTATCTTTAAAGACACTTTTAGGAGCACTTGAGTGGTTTAATCAGCTAAGCATCCCACTCTTGGTATCAGCTCAGGTAATGGTTTCACGGGTTGTGTTATCAAACCCTCATTGGACTCAGCGCTCAGTAGGGGGTCTGCTTGAAGAGTCTCTCCCTCTGCCCCTCCCCACTCTCTCTCTCTAATAAATCTTTTTTAAGGACACTTTCAGCATAAATTAGGGTTATTTTAACACATTTTTGAGGAAATCAATTTAAGTATCTGTTTTTCTGCTCAGTTTTTCTTCATTGGAAATTTCCCTAGAGCAAATAAGAGTCAGAGATCAAATCTTCCATTTTAAGTGTAGAAAGATTTCAACTTCACATGCTATCATCTCAACAGCTTCCACTCCACTCCTGAAATTCTGCAGAACATGTTGATGTTTGGAGGCACAGAACTCTCTCCAAGGTAAAGCTGTGTATCTCATACTACAGTTGATACACTTAAATGAAGAGGCTTATTAGAAGATTTATTAGACAGGGGTGCCTGGGTGGCTCAAAAAGCTGAAAAGTGACTGCCTTTCAGCTCAGGTCATGATCCTGGAGTCCCAGGATTGAGCCCTGCATTGGGCTCCCTGCTTAGCAGGGAGTCTTCTTCTCCCTCTGACCCTCCCCGCTCTCATGCTCGCTCTCTCTCTCTCTCTCCCTCTTACTCTCTCTCAAATAAACATAAAAATCTTTCAAATAAAAAAAAAATCTTATAGAAAATTTAGACAGCAACAAAGGATAAGGTGAAAACAATGTGCCCAAAAACCTCAGGCAGATTATACTCTTACTGGCTTATCAAAAAATTCTCTTTGTTGTTCCTACAATACAATACTTGTGTTTGATTAGCCTCTCTAAATTAACTATATGAAAAATAGTCAAAAATAATCTCTGCAAGCAAATAAAACATAGGTAGGGAGGAATGAAGAAAAACAATCTTCCCTCACAAGTATCTTTACCATAGTGTGGTTATGTATGTGTGTCTCAGAAAGTTACGACAGGGGGCACCTGGGTGGCTCAGTCAGTTAAGCATCTGCCTTTGGTTCAGATCATGATCCCGGGGTCCTGAGACTAAACCCCAAGTCGAGCCCTTGTTGAGCCCTGTGTTGGGCTACATGCTCAGCGGGGAGCCTGCTTCTCTCTCCCCTTCCGCCCCTCCGCCCCAACTCATGCTCTCTCTAGCTCTCTCTCTCAAATAAATAAATAAAATCTTAAAAAAAAAAAAAAAGTTACAACAGGGGAAAGGGCTATAGCCCAGTAGGCCAAGACCGCAAACTGCCTGCCAATATCCACTCTCCCCTTCTTCATCAGTAACAGAGATTTTGTTTTTATTCTGGCATGTTACCCAGAAAAAAAAAGGACTATATTCTCCATCTTCCCTAACATCTTGGTGTGGCCATGTGACTAAGCTTTGCGCAAGGATATGGAAGCAAAAGAGCTATGCCTCTTTAAAAAATGAAAGGAGAGTGCTGTGCTCCCTTACTACTTCCTGATGCAAGGAACGCTGATATGGAATCTGGAGTTCCAACAGCTAACTTGGACCACAAATGATCTTGAGGGTAGAGGTCAAGAACTAAGATGGATAAGCAGAATGACAGAAAAATCCTAGGTATCTGATAACCACAGAGCCATCACATCAGTCCCATATGCTTAAGACTCCTTTTATAAAACAGTGAAATAAACTTCCTTTTCTTAAACCACTGTTAGTATAGAGGTTTCTATTACAAGGAGCCAAAACATGATTCCCAAGTTTCAGATACAAATATTTATAAAATATTCTAACATCTTAGAAAATATAATAAACATTTCTTCTAACTATATCTATAATTATTTAGTTATTACCACTATTTAATTACTACTTTATTGGTACTCAGTAATGTTAAGATAAATACACTTCAACACTTTAAAATAGATACATCCAAATATATTCTAAAGCAGTTTATTAATTCTAATGTAGATAAAACCAAACTATGAAGGATGGCATCCCATTAGTTTTAAAATTTATATTCAATTAAAAAATAAAGCAATGAATATGTGTATGCAAAAAAAACAGGAACAGTATATTTATTACCCCATGTTTACTGTATCATACTATCGTCACAAAATGATACCCCATCTCAGTAATTAATATTACTAATCCATAGAAAGAGTCATAGCAATCATTTATATAACATATGCCAAATGAACATATATACATTAAAACAAGAAAGTAAAATATAAAAGCAATCCTTGGCATGAATTCAAAAAGAAATCATACTTTTGGGACTGATCTGTTAAAATTTTTTGATCTGGTAAGAAGCTGTTCTTATATTTCAACCAAATCACAGAATTTCAGCAAAATTTACCACTGAAATATTTCTTTCCAGTAATAGCTAACTTTCAGGTAGCTAAATTTTCCATTTCTAACATGATCTGAAAAGCAAAAGCACTATCAAGTTACTATAAATGTTGATACCATAGTTTAAAATAAAAATAAATCTAGCCAAATTTTCATTTAAGACAGAATTATTTTAAAAAATACTTACAGGGGATATGTTGGCATTATTTTCACAACTAGAAATCAAAACACTACATTTTTTATAAACATCAATCAGATCTACCATATTACTATTCTTTAAGAAATCATCATAAGTCCTCCTAATGTCCTCATAATGGTCAATCACTTCTGTATTTTCAAATGGTAGGTTCAACTTCTCATGTAGAAAGTATTTCCAGGTCAATAAGACATCACTGAGGGAAACTGTAAATTCTCCACTGTGCTGAAAAGAGACAATACCAAAAATGAAAAGATAAATTTGGGTGCCAGAATAATCATTAATTTGTAATTGAGAAGGGAAATACAAATTGAATTTTGTTATAGAAAAGTGTACATTGAATTCTTGTGGATTTGTAGAGAACATCCAAGTTCAGCTATGGAATAATTTTTAAACCAGATAGAAAAGGATTTTGATGGTTTTGTAAAATATAAACAACTATGGCAAGTTTGGGCATGACAAAATTAGCAAATATCTAGTCTTTCTTCACTAAATTTCTTCTCACATTCAGGGAATGGGTGGGGAGTGATCTGTTCTTAAGCACTATTAATTGGGGAAAAATTTGATTCTGTTAATATTTAGCTCCTTTTAGCTCTTCTAATGTATTTTTAATCTCTTAATCAAAACTTTCAATGCCATAGTGAATTACCACATACCACACTTCCAACTGTTAGTCTTAAGACATGATCATAAAAACTAATTTTAAAAATCACATTTTATTTCATTATTGTTCCAGAAAAAGCAAAATAGCAGTGCTAAAACCTTGGGTCGGAGAATTTTGATTCTTCCCTGCTCATGGACACACCAAACTATAAACAAGTGTTAAAAAGTCACAGTTTCTTTCTATAAGCTGTTGGATGTTCCTATTGAGGTAAAATTGTTCTTTTTTTCTCTTCTTCAATATCAACATGATATATTAGTCAGTAGACATGCTGAAGGTTTTTTTTTTAATTGATTGCATTCTGCTCCCAGATATTAATAATAGTGCCCTCCTAAAAAAATGCCAGCACTAATTCAGTAAAAAATTCTAACTACTCCTTTCCAATACAGCATGAATAACAAATATTTTTAAGTATTCATATGTAATTTTGTGAAATGTATTACGTTGCTTTTTTCCACAATTAAGTTCCCTTAATATGTTAGTAGTTTCTGATAACACCAAGATCTTTCCATCATTTGCACTGAAAGATGGGTGGATATTTAAATGGAACTATAATTCACTGGAACTAAAATTGTAACATCATCTTTAGCCAATGAAGAATAATAAAAAGAATCAAACAGAGTCAAATAGGGGCGCCTGGGTGACTCAGTCAGTTAAGCGTCTGCCTTTGGCTCAGATCCTAGGGTCTTGGGATGGAACCCCATGTCTGGCTCCCTGTTCAGCAGGGAGCCTGCTTCTCCTTCTCCCTCTGCCACTCACTTTGCTTATGCTATCTCACTCTCTCAAATAAATAAATAAAATCTTAAAAAAAAAGAGCTGAAAAATAAACTTTCTACTTAACTGACTCTTTTAAATCTACATTTCTTTTACAAAAATCAGCTACATTTTCTAGTTACTATCTAAATTTAAGACAATTATGTCCAAACTGCCTTAAAAATTATTAACTTTTTACTCATCCTCATGGAGACAAAGAAAATTATCCTTACTCTCCTTGGAGGGACCTATTATATCAAAATTATAAAAATTAATTATATTTCATGAAATTAATTCAATGAAAAAACAACAACAAAAAAAAAAACAGTAACTCTCAAATCTTGAATCCATAACCCAAATGTAAGATTTGTAATTTCGCAGCATTGCATCAAAAACTGTACACTTTACTTCCCAATCCCACAAAAATTACACAATAAAATTTCCAAATGGTATTTAAGTTAAACAAATCCAGCTATTTAGAGTTTCAAAACTAATTTGTCTTACCTCAAAAAATTCCTAAAACTGTTTTGATATGACATCCTTCATATGAAAAATAAATTAAAATTTTGCCTAACATAAATGTACAATCCAGTCTTATTCGGTTGACTATAACTAGTTAAAGTAAAACCAGGCAAGCTCTTGATCTTGTGAGAAAAGGTTTTGACTAGATTAACAGTGTTTATACTGGGATTGTAAAAACATTTTAAATCCAAATAAAAATGTACTCCAGATATCAGTTTTCATGATCAGGTGCCCACCATGACAGCATATTCTATTATTCAAACCAGTAACAACTGATTTAGAGAGCTTGTGGTCAAATCAGAAAATGTTTTGCTAGGAAAACATGCCAGCTGGCTAATATCTGAAGGAAGTTCAAGATGGTCAATGCTTTAATTCTCTGATGGACATAAGAAGGATTGTATTTCATAAGAATAAAATGAGAAAAAAAACGAAGTTACATTTTTTCAGAGCACTTGTACTTTGTATATTTTGCTGAAGTTATTTTTATAATTACTCAAAAACTTAAATAAACTTCATATTTTTAACTAACTGGAATTTTTATTGTTATCAAAACAGAAAAGCTAGGAGGTCTGCTTAAGAGTATTAATTGGCTATGTGACCATGAGTAAAATACTGAAAATCCTGTGAATACTTTTCCTTGGTTATAAAATGAGATTAAACAGATTAAATAACACCTGATGAATGGCAAGTGATCAAAAAATGTCATTCTTTCTCTTTTCTCATTCAAAGTAAAATAACTGTTTGTTAGGCAGGTATTAGATAAATGTAATACAATTGTAAAAACTGTTTCTTCTTATTGATTATGTCAAAGTTAGGTCATTTTCAAATCTGACAGTCAACCACAGGCTGTAGCTTTCCATGAAGTTATAAAATTAATATCTTTGTTTCATCCAATGGAACATTTGTAACGTTCTTAAGGCTATTTAAGTTCATGAAAAATAGCATTTATAATGTAATTGCCAGACGGAGTCAAACTACGAAGTCAATTCTAAGGAAAGGAAAAGCTAAAACGCTATTTGCAGCTTAATAATAAAAGTCATATATATTTGCCATGTAGTCCTCAAAGAATCTATAAATTAAATCTTTAGCAGTATAAAACTCCTAGAGGTCATCTAATTTCAGCGAAAAGACTTCCCCTCAGAAACCATGCCCAAAACCTAAAACTCAAAGATTATTTTAATTACCTTTTCTTTATCCCCATTAGAACAGCTAAGAAAACAAACATGCCAGTAGACAGACTAACAACTCTACCAGGTATTCACAAGTTTTATTGTAGTCAAATTCAGCTGGGAGGATCATACTTTAGAGACTCGTGTTCTCAAACTTCAGAGAATTAAAAACCTAAATAGAGCTCAGAGTGAAAATATAGGTGAAGTATATATACAACAAACCCCAACTTTTTATTACCATTTACTATTTATGAATGTACTTGCAGGAATATGTGTATGTTATTTCACACTGCTGAGTGACATGTAAGTCTGCACACAGCTGGGGATGCCTGAGCTAACTCCACATGGAGACTGAGAGTCAATCAGAACTGCAGCCCCGCATCCCTACTGCACATGTGCACACACATACACCAACTGTGATAAGCTCAGTTGCAATTCACCTCTCCTCTTTTCTCCCACCCAGAGTCTGAACTTTCACAGTGAACTAAGTGAATTAGCAAGTAGAAAATTAACAAGTAGAAAGAGATCCTAAGTGTGTGCTACACAGACAAACCCAAAAGAAAAAATATCTTGAACTGAGTATTTCAACATATCAAAATTTTTACATGAAAACTAAATTTTCTTCAGGGTATATTTCACTTACCTTTTTGATATATTTATGTTTCAAAAATTATTCATAAACAAACAGTAGGTGATATGAACATGGTCTGCTTAATTCCAAAACAATAGCTCTCAATTACTGTACAATAATGATTCTTAATAATTGCCTCAATTTCTCTCTTCTCATTTTCAAGTGAATGATCGCCAAAGTTTAACCTTTAGCTAGTCTATTCCATTGATATAATATCCTCAGAATCTATTAATTATCTTGGGGTACCATTTCTTCAGGTTACCAAAGGAGAGTTTTTTGGGGGGTTTTTTTGGTTGTTTTTTTTTTTAATGCTCAGGCAATAAAATTGGAAAGACTTGAATATGGATTGCAATGGAGAGCAAAATAAAGAAACTGTACAATGACCTTTGGGTGTCTAGTTTCACTGACTGAGTGAACAATGGTATTTAAGATTGAGACTAAGATTGGCATATAAATTCTGGTAAAACAATGTAAAGGAAGTATATCCAGAGAAGGTAAGTAAAATAGAACACATCAGAAGTTATCGAAAAGAGTGTTACAAAGTACATGTAGAATTCTTTTAAAGAGTAAAAAAGAGATAAGAATAACTCAACAGTAAAATAAGCAAAGGATATGAATGAGCAAACAATAAAGAGGATACCTAAAGAGTCAAATAAGCATCTTAAAAGATGTTTAAATGCTCTAATAATAGAAAAATTAAAATGAAATACCCTCTTTTCTCTTTTCTTGTTCTTAGATAACATCTAATATGGAGAAATATAAGAAAGTATATTCTTTCTTATATTTCTTATTCTTTCTTATATTTCTCCTGAGAGTACAGGAGTATACTCTCCTATACTGTTGACATAATGTAAATTCTAATAACCAAGTTGAAGACAAATTTGGTAACATCAAGTCAAATTAAAAATGTATCTGTCATATGACCCCATGTGTATAGGGCCTAGAGAAACTCTCATGCACAGACATCTCATTTCAATGAAGAATTGTTTATAATACCAAAAAAATGCAAATGACCCAAAGGTGTATCAATGAGTAAAGTATACCAGTCATATAAAGGATGATTGTTAAAATGAATAAATTAGATCAACTTTTCTGTCTATCAGTACCTAAAGAGGTCTTGAAAACAATGTTGGATAATAAAAACAAGATACAGAAAGAATGTATACCATCTGTTATAATTTTAAAACAGACATATTAACAAGGCTATCTGCCTGGCTGGATATGCAGAGAAACCCCTCCTGGCATGAAATACCTAAAACTACAAGAGAAAGTAGAAAACTTTTTTTTTTTTAAAGATTTTTTTTAATTTATTGATTTGACAGAGAGAGATCACAAGTAGACAGAGAGGCAGGCAGGCAGAGAGAGAGAGAGAGAGAGAGAGAGAGAGAAGCAGGTTCCCTGCTGAGCAGAGAGCCCGATGCGGGACT